ACCATGTTAATCTACAAATCAGTTTAGAATTAGCCATTCGTGACAAGTGTAATATCCAAAAGATCTGTATGAACGACCTTGTAAAAACTACGAAGCTTTTCATATCTTAGCGAATTAGTTATTTTTTATAAGTAACGATTTTCATCTCCTGAACTAAACATGTATTTGCTTTGCAGTAAGTGCCTTTCATACACCTACAGAAACACATCGGACAGCTACAACAGTTGCAATCAAAATCCTTACATTGCCGTTTACGAATGGAAAAAAAAAATGTATATTTTCGTTCTTTAGTGTATTTAAAGTTGTTTTTCCTATCTTCACAGTGGTATTTAGAAGGAAGGATTATTGTTACGACTATGTTGTGTTAAACTATGTAACAGAAAAAAAGCAAAACCAGCAAGTTTTGTAAAAATTCAATAAATAATTTATTTGCCTTGAATACAAAGTAAAAATTATTTAAAACAAAGCATACAGATAGTCCTAAAAGTTCTATCACAAGTCCAAATGTTTAAACTTCTAATTCAATCCAGTGGTGATCCAAATAAATTCAAATATTGAATGTGTTGATATGTCTGTAGTCTCTAATGTGCTAATGTGCCAACTGACAGGCATGTGGTGATGTGCTTATCTTTTGATATCTCACAAAAATATAATCCAAAATGTTCTTACCCGAATTCACTGTAATTCAAAATTAATGTTTTTGAGCAGTTTGTAATTTCCGTGTAAAATAGTTCGAATAAATTAATCCACACTGAGCACAACAATAAGACTGATTCAGCATTAAATGTTAAGACAAGAATAAATATTTCTTAGATAAACTTGATTATATACCCCCGCCACTTGAACTAGGTTACAATTACCATTTTCTGAAAATACTCTGTCAACTAATATGACATTTTCATTGCGGAAGTTTCTAAGTATAGAGTCAAGACCTTATTTTAACTGAAATTGAAATAAACTTGTTTATTTCATGAATAATGAATGTTTGGTCTACAATGATAGAGAAATTTTGTGTTATGTATTATGCTGCTTACAAAATAAATGTCACTGGTTAGATACACTATTAAGTTGATCTTGAACAAGGTCAAGTATAACATACAAATGTACATAACAAATAATTAGTAAGAAAAGCCAATAAGCAATACAAATTAAATATAAATAACACTTTCAATATTGGAAGATATCAATTGCGACCGATGAATCTTTACAGAACTATATGTGATAAATCGTCAGAAAAGATGCAAGTGGACATATAAATTTCTTAATTTTCTTCGCTTTAATCTGTATCGACCATAACTGTATTTTCAACGTAGAAACTTTGATAGCCATCGGGTTACTGATATGCGTGTGTCTCAGTCATGGGACTGTATTAAATGGAAGAAGACTAATGTAGCAGTCACCATTACATTGCATCGTGATATTTAATTTTACATGTGGTGTACGTAAGACCCTAAGATTATGCAAATGCAACACTGGAAGTATCTTAGCTAGTCTTTAAAAAAACACGAATTACATTGCAATCGCTTAATTTTATGTCTTTTTAATACCTTTGTCCACAAAAGAAATTGTACCTGCACATTTTTTTAAAATTTGTGAAAGTAAATAATGTAGCATTTTCCACTTATTATTGTCTGCTATGCAATACCCACCAACCCACCCTCTGAAACCTCTTCACATTACCAATAATTGTTAGTAAGGAAAGGCTTATACATTACTTTTTTCTGAGAGGCACAAAAAGAGCACCCATAAAATAATTACTTATTGTTAAAGTGTCTCCTTCTATTAAATTCCAACAAGTACATGCTCTGTGTAACTTATATTTTTGCAAACGGAAAAATTATGTGGACATTCCAAGTCTTGACACACCTGTTGAATTATCATATTTCGATGTCATAGAAAAACAATCAAGCATTATAAATACTTACTACATTCAGCATGATGGAATACACAAATAACAATTATGAAAATCATCCACGCAAAAGGGCGACCACACATTTTTCCGTACTGTTAAGCCGCATCCCTTTAATTCCAACAGCAAAAAATGGGATTATTTTCCTCCATATTTCGAGCTACATTGCTGGGTGGCACAAGGTATATAAGATAACAAAGTGCAGAATAGGACAAGTAGATATTAAAGATTATTTTGACTTGCTAATATCTGGGCCACTGTCAGTTCGCGGTAATCGGCACTATCTTTTATTTCAGTATTAAATGTACCACCCAATACTAACAAACCGTGTGCAAACTTCAAAGGTGGAGGTGTACGATTCGACCACATACTGAATGTCGAAGTTAGAGACTGATCTACTAAGCTAATGATGGCCAGCTTAATTGCATGCATATATTCTATACCATGTTAAAATGTAAGACTGTTACAGAATTGTGCGCACGAAAATACATTTTTATTATATACGAGTAAGAATTTAGACGATTTCGTTGTACCGTACATCGTCATCATGGGCGTATGGTTTTAAACTCCGGTGATTTTGATATAGTGATATCTCTCACAAGCTGCATCAGTCAAAAAGCTAGAGAAGTAAGGAACACCTTTATTCCGAGTTTTCTGGCCATGAATTTGACCTTCAGCTTAGTACTTAATAAGCTAATTATCTCTGTATCTGCACAATGCAGATGAGTCTTGGCAGAAAGCTCTCCACTTAATGTGTAACGAAGACAGTTTTTGTCAACGCATTGCATGATGTATATCATTACATTCACGGGTCTTCTACAGTACACGACGACCTAATAATTTTGTTTGGAGCTGTTATAGGCAGTCGTTGAACTCTTCGGAGTTGTGTAATCTTGACACTGCGGTAAATGATGACGCTGGTTTGAGGGACAATACTGGTTAAATCGGAACCAAAGGATAGAGAGGTTCTTGAGAGATCCTTCGGCAGGCAGGAGGAGCGGACCACATGAAATCGTTCCTGAATCATAATCGGGAGCTGTGGATCAGATCGTCTCAAGATCATTTGCCTGGATGCCACATAAATGACATCATATATGTACATGTCATAATACGTTTGTGCATGATCCATAAATCAATCATATTTTTTGTGAATAATTCCATTCATTGATTATATCCTTTAATAAATCCACATATCAAGCGTGTATGTTCAGACGATATCATTTTCTGATTATCTGTTGAAAATTCTTACCATAATATTCGTTAATGCTGATGTTTATTTTATCATAAATTTCACCATTCTTCTAGTCTAACTAAAGGTTAAAAGAAAGGAAATGATTTATTAGGAAAGCTACTTGACATAATCCGTACCATGAAATAAGCAAGAGGTTAGGTTTAAACGATGATCAAATATTCAGTTAAAAATTAAAAGATGCTCTCCCTGAATCCAGTAAACGAAGTCGCTCGTAACTACGTTCTTTCTCGATAGTGTTCCAAAAGTAGTGATGTGATACATTGGACAAATTCATTTATTAACTAACCTAATAACGACAACATTCGCAAGTGACGCACACATTGATTCGAGTATTCGAGAAGGAATGGGGGTATCCAAGCCCGTATTTATAAGCAGATCTGAGAATAATGGTGCGTTAGATAAAAGTAAGAATGGTAAATATTGGTGATCAGATGGAGCGTTGAAATACCTTTAAAGGGCGAAAATTAGGCTGTAAACAATCGGATATAGCATGGTTTTGGTTTCTTATGCTTACAAAGGTGACGTCATCAAATATTGTGTTCCAGCTATAGACTGAAATCATTTGGCTCACGGACGACGATGATCAACATCAGATTAATTCGTACACATTTGAGAACTGTCCGGGTTTTTCAGTTCGATAAAGAAATTGAATGGCTCGTAATATGATGAAACATCGATATTATTTGGTTGTAATATGAAAACAATGATGTTTAGGACCAATATCTTTCAGGATTCAATATTCAGATGATTTGACATATTCGAGTTTTTGCGCGTAAAGCGGCTTTGGGGCTTTAAGAAACGATACCATTATTTTATATTCGTTATTGAACTTTGTGTGCATGTCAAGGGTAAGGTTTTCAGTTGTTTTAGTTCAATTTATGAGAGACAGAAGTAAGGGTGTGAGATAGAGTGCCGGAGATTCAATTTTCAGTGATTTGCGTTATAAATAAACATCTTGTTCAGGTACCTGTACTACGTATTCGTGCAAACCAGTTTAAAAACAAAATATTCCCTAAATGCTGTACGTAGCAGCTACATTTAGCGACAAGTCCTAAGTGTACATATATATATATATATATATATATATATATATATATATATATATATATATATATATATATATATATATATATATATATATATATATGTGTGTGTGTGTGTGTGTGTGTGTGTACTTACCTATGTATGTATGGATGGATGGATGGATGCATGCATGCATGCATGTATGTATGTATGTATGTATGTATGTATGTATGTATGTATGTATGTATGTATGTATGTATGTATGTATGTATGTATGTATGTATGTATGTATGTATGTATGTATGTATGAATGTATGTATGTATGTATGTATGTATGTATGTGTCGACCTCTCCAGTGGCCTAAGTGGTTAGTTCGTCCGCCTTGGTATGGAAGATCACGGGTTCGAATCCCATCCGAGTTAAACCAGAGACTTATCAAATTGTTACTAGCAGTTACATGACTTGGCGTTCCACATTAAGAGGTTTTTTTATGACTGGTCGGCCTGGTTTCAGGTGGTACATGATGTTTCATGTCTGCAGCACGATGTCCAACTGCTGGACATCAGTATCAACTGCCACAATGTAGGCATCGCTGCGATATGAGTGAACATATTTTTAAAAGCTACATTACAAATCTGAGTCAGTAACAGACACACACACACACAGACACGCACATACATTTACGCTCGCACACACGCCTGCACGCACTTTGTATGTATGTATGTATGTATGTATGTATGTATGTATGTATGTATGTATGTATGTATGTATGTATGTATGTATGTATGTATGTATGTATGTATGTATGTATGTGTCGACCTCTTCGGTGGCATAAGTGGTTAGAGCGTCTGCCTCGGTAGTGGAAGATCATGGATTCGAATCCCATTCAAGTCATGCCAGAGACTTATAAAATTGTTGCTAGCAGCTGCCTGAATTGGCGTTCAGCATTATAAGGTTACTTTTAGAACTGGTCGGCCTGGTTTCAGGTGGTACATGATGCTACATGTGGCATGGCGTTCCAGTGCTGGACATCAGAATGAGCTCCCAAAATGTAAACATCGCTGTATATGAGTAAAAATCATTAAAGTGCTACATTACAAATCTAAGTCACAGACACACCCACAACCCTTCAACCTTATTATCAGTTTGCAATCAAATGGTTAATTACCTGCATTTCATACAATTCCCAATCTTCGGCATGATTACATTCGTGTGCATGCAAACGATAACCTTTACACTGAAAGGTCCCCTTCATTCCCCAAACAAAAAACACCATCTAAAAGGATAGTTCCTGCTCCTCATCCAAAAGGTGCTCCTGGTAGCGCAAGACTAAAACTAAGACTTTAACAGCATATATGTAACGTTTTTAAACTTGAACTTTATTCTAACTTGAGGCAGCATAAAAACGTTTTTTTTTAACTTGAATTTTGTTTTGACTTGAGGAAACATAAATGTAACGTTCTTTAACTTGACCTTTGCTCTAACTCGGGGCAGCATAAGTATAACGTTCTTTAACTTGAGGCAACATGAATGTAGCGTTCTAAACCTAAGACTTGGGACGGCATAAATGTAACGTTTTTAAACTTGAACTTTATTATAACTTTAGGCAGCATAAATGTAACGTTTTTAAACTTGAACTTTGTTTTGACTTAAGGTAACATAAATGTAACGTTCTTAACTTAAGGCAGCATGAATGTAACGTTCTTTAACTTGAGGCAGCATACATTTAACGTTCTTTAACTTGAAGAAGCATAAATGTAACGTTCTTTAACTTGAAGCAGCGTGAATGTAAGGTTTTTTAACTTGAGTCAGCAAGAATGTAACGTTCTTAAACTTGAGAATGAATGTAGCGTTCTTAAACTTGAACTTTGTTTTGACTTGGGGCAGCATAAATGTAACGTTCTTAAACTTGAACATTGTAAACACACACACACACACACACACACATGCAATAAAGTTATATCATTGAAACATTTTACATTTTGAAAGGAAAACAATCTATATTTATTTTATCCACATCATGTAAAAAAAATTAATATGTTCAATATGAAATTCAGATATCCTAACTTTATTTTATTTGAGATGGCTTACATAACCATTAGCTTTATTTGGACAGACCTGAAGAGAACTCATAGAATGGCAAAGTTACCCCAGGAAATTAAGAAGATTTTCATTTTGAGTCTTTAGATCCAGGGGTCAAGGGTTAACCTACTCTTCAGTTTCAAAATCTGTTGAGAACCCTGGATTTTATATAGACATTTCAAGGGTAATTGTAATTTTGGATTCATCCTTTTATTCTTTTTAGGGTCAGAATACCATACTTTTTTTACCTGCATTGAATTTATGGAGATTGACTCTTAATATCATAAATATTTTTCATGTTTTCACCGGACTGTTGCATTTTTGTTTTGGAAAATATATGGATTTTATTCAATTTCAGTTTATTTAGATAATCTGGTATTATATTTCTGACTTTCAGACTGCTGTTTCTCAGAGTGCTCAAACATGAGGTCTGTGGGCAATGGTATCTCCCTTCCAAAGGTAATTAGAAATGGCCTTGTTCCAGTACTTTCATCAACTTAAAACCTGCATACCATCATTACCATCCCAATCTTTTTGATAATCTCACATGGGTACATAATCAACCCAATCTCTTTGATGATCACAGACGGGGTACACATTCATCCCAATCTCTTTGAGGATCACACATGGGTACATATTCATCCCAATCTCTTTGATGATCACACATGGATACACATTCATCCCAATCTCTTTGAGGATCACACACGGGTACATATTCATCCCAATCCCTTTGATGCTCCAACACGGGTACATATTCATCCCAATCTCTTTGAGCATCACACACAAATACACAGTCAACCCAATCTCTTTGAGGATCACACATGGGTACACATTCATCCCAATCCCTTTGATGCTCCAACACGGGTACATATTCATCCCAATCTCTTTGAGCATCACACACAAATACACAGTCAACCCAATATCTTTGAGGATAACAAACGGGTACATATTCATCCCAATCCCTTTGATGCTCCAAACCAGGTACATATCATCCCAATCTCTTTGAGCATCACACACAGGTACACAGTCATCCCAGTCTCTTTGATGATCACACACAGGTACACATTCATCCCAGTCTCTTTTAATCACAAAGGTTCATATTCATCCCAATCTCTTTGATGATCACAAACATTAAAGCTGAAAGCATATTGCGCCATTTGCTCTTTCAACCGTGCCAACAGATTTGGGGTCTTGCAGAAACAGAGAGAGTAAACAGACCAGGTCCATTCGCAAAATAAAGATTCCCACAAAGATTGAAAAAATTAAGTAAAAAAAAAAACAACGGCCTCTAACTGATTATATTTCTATACAGAACAAACAGACTGCAGTAATATCAAATCATACATGTTAGCTCATTGCTGATACTCGTTCGGTGATGTGTATTTTTCAAATTTTAGACGTGTTCGTTTGTGTGTTTCGGTCAGTCCACCCTCTCTGCTGCTATATCAATAATGATTGGTGAAGCTCACTAAGCTAGACTAGAGGCAATACGAAAACATCTTTCACTTAATAAAGGCGTTAAACAACAACTTCAAGCATTTCAACAAACACAAGAAGAATTTGCAGAAGTTGAAGAAGAATTATTTAAACCTATTACAAAGACTACTAAAGGTATTTCTTCCCATGTTGGAAAAATCCGCTGAAGCATCTGGAAAAATAGCAGAGTGAACTAAGAAAAAAAAGATCCTATGAGAACTTCTGGAGATAATGGCTACTGTGATGCCAATCCCGGAAATACCTGAGGATGCAGACCAAGTGGAGAATGATGAACTAGAACCAGAACAAGCAGAGGGTGATAAACTAGAACTAGAACAAGCAGAAGAACTAGAACAAGTACAAGCCATGGTTAATCTGTCTGATAAATTTACCGAAGATGTTATTAATGCTATCAAACAGATCAAAAATATAAAACAATTAGCTTTGGTTACTGTGAGAGGTTATGATAATCGAGAACAGTTTTTGAAACCTGAATATGCTGATGATCTTGTGAGTCACGAAAATTTGTTCAAATGGATATTCGAATATACAACGTTGATCAAGCTCAAAACAGCGATCCAAGATAAATGGAATATATTCATGCAATTGTTGGCTATATTTCATTTCTACAGCTACCACCAGAACAACGACAACAAATATGACAACTAAAAGGACGATCACAACCAATATGACAAATACAAAGATTACAAAAAAAAGATGTTGACCCAGATGAGGAAGAATTCCATGATACCCCTCGTGCCACTGGAATTGGGATTAATACAAGTACAACTGGAAGTGGTCTTATTACTCCATGTCCAAGTAATGTTCTTGGTTTTGTTGATCGATTAAAAATTCTGATTTCTGGAAAACGAACTGGTAATAATTCTCCATAAATCATTAATCAAGCAGCTGATATTTGTCAACGATTTTTTACGGCGGTATCATGGACATTAATGTGTATCGGTCCCTCATCAATGAAATCGCCGAATATTATTTCAGTGATTAAACATACATAATTACTAAAATAATATGATCATACGTGTTCTCAACATAGACCAAATATGGTCATGGTAATAAATTTGAGATTACCTGTATATAAAATATTCTATACAGATGAACATGGTGATGTTGTTCAGGGTTTATTCAGAAAGATAGCTCCGAAAGCAATACTGATTGCAAAGCAACTAGGAATGAAAGCTATTGACTTTGTGAAAAGGGTATTGGTACTGTGGGTGATGTTGCCAGCAAAGCATTTTCAGCAATCAATGATAGACTAGCACAATTAATACGACGAAGACCTCAGCCAGTAAAAGTACCCAGCATTGAAGTGATGTCTTCAAATGTTAGTAAATAAATAAATCAACCTGCAAATCAAATATTAGCGTCATTGGCTGGTGAAAAAGAAAAACATAACCGCTAGCCTGGTAGCAGGAAGTGGTTTTCGTGTTAAACGATAACAAATATAATAAGGATGTTCAAACGTATATCTGATTCCGCTTTCGATATGGATGTACCAGTTCTCTAAGATGAATCGGTATATGATTATCAGTATTATTCTTATGACTCACGTGTACCTGACGAGCATGGAAGAATTGAATTACAAGTTCAATATACAAGCATATATTTCCTACCTGCTGAAGCAGTTATTGAAGTCGAAGATAGACTTTTAAAATTAGATAATACCGATTACGGAATTGGTGATCCTGTTGGTTTTATCAATAATGGTATTATGGCGTTATTCAAAAGTGCTACAAATATGATTGATGGATGAGAGATTTAGATTTGTCATAACGACATTGACATTACCACAACGATACTTTGTCTTGCAAGATGACGATTACCCAAGATCAGCTGGTCCATCAGTGATGTTTGCCAAAGATACAACTGATCAACCCAAGCACAGAAATGTAACATTAAATCCAGCTCTAGACACAGTTGTGTCAATGAATGAAAATTTCAACTTAAGATTCGCATCACGTAGAGCAATGCTTGACAACGACGAAAGATTTTTATGTGCAATTCCACTGTCACATATATTTGGATTCTGTAGAAACGTTAAAAAGGTTATTTTTTCAGCCAAGCACACGGTTGTACTCGTACAAAAGAATACCGATGATGATACAATATGGCATGCTTAAAGAGCTAACACAGGTGCAACTGCGGCACTTTATGGTTAAGTTACACTGATAAAATTTTCTTTGTGGATGCCAGCAATATACTCGTTAATTAAAGAACAACGGTTACTTTCTTTCATGGACAGTGGCAGTAAATCAACATTGTCATGGCTAACAATGACCACAAACTCTATCCAGAGTAAGATTAATGGTTTAGTCACA